TTGATAAAAGCGTAGAAATAATTTGCAACATTCTCAGCTAAACTGATGCAGGCAATCATAATTTACTTATATTTGGCATAAATACTGCCATTTTGCTGAAAGAACTACAAATGATGATGATTTTCTTCCCATGTTAACACATGTTAACAGAATGTATGAAAGTTCTTGGAAACCAAATTAGATTTAAAAGACTTGTTTTTTTTTATGGGCATTAACTTCCAAAATATCCAGGATGGATTCTAAAACATTAGCTGATGGTGATACTTAGGTCAATTTTATGCCTGCCTGCACATATAGGCTAACATTCTTTAAATTCATTTTGCTTTATTACTTTTATTGAACTGAACTAAAACCCTGAAGCACTCCCTATTAGTCACAGCTTGTAGTGCATCACCATGCCTACTGATGTCTGCCACCCTTAGACAATTCACCCACCAGCTCCCGCACCTTCACTACTTAACCCCTTGTGTGCTGGGAGTGAGTGGATCGGAGCCAGGTGATATTCCTGCTCAGAAGCAGGGTGGAATTTAGGAGCACAACACATTGGGGTCAAACTTGCAGTATTCTGTGATAGGATTACATAACAAGGAATCGCAATAGAATTCCCCTTGACCTGCAGCAATTCTGGTCTGGAAATAGATCTGATGTAGAGATCCTATTGCCTTATATTTAGAAAACTTGAACATGTGCATTAAAATTAAAATTATATACAAGATTTTACAGTGGTTGTTCTACTATTTTTGCATTTTTCAAAATTATAATTTCTAAATGTTTACCAAAAAAAAGTATACAGTGATTGATTTAACTTTAGTGACCGACCGTATTAATAGCTGACAGATGTTATAAGTGGGAAGAAGCACTTAAATGATAATTGGAATCTTCAACAGAGAAAGGCTCACCAATCATTTGTTTCCTGTCTCTATTCTGGAATTGCTCTTAAACGTTTCAGTCCGTCTCCTAATAAGGCAATTTTCTCTTTCAGTTATGAGACGTGCTCATCGATATTGGTACAATAATGAGCTTCTTGAAAGCACTTTTAATGATTATTTTAATGAAAAAAGTTTCAAAAACCGGCAGCTAAAATCCAATGAAAAGTAATTGCAAAATGATGAGGAACATTGTCGATTGTTTTGAAGGAGAGTTTGACTATGAATGCTTTCTTCATGCAGAAGAGCAGGATTTGTGATGATAGGGGTGGGTGGATATCCTCATTTGAATACTTTGAGCAGGTCACATATTTGTGGTTACAACTCAATCTGTCACAATGTTTCATTAATTTTTTTATTAGTTTTGGAGCGAATAGGCATGAATAATTCCGTCCACACATTTTATGAAATAAATATAAAAGTTATTAATTCCAGAGTTATTTGAGAAAAAAATTAAAGATTCAGACACTCCTGTCCAAATGTGTAGTTAGGCATTTTATTGCTTCTGTCCATTGTATTGTTTTCATCTTCTAGTGATAGTAAATCAATCTTGTGTTTTATGGCACTATACTGCTGGAAAGTGCAGGTGAATACGACAGTCTGTTTGCATACAGGATTGTCCACAAACAGCCAAAAGGTGAATGACAACTTTATCTGAAGGATTTTGGTCAGGACACCGGAAAAAACAACACCACATTTGGTAGAACCACAAAATATTGCATCTGTTAGTACTATAACAGCCTCTATAGCACCAAATTAATAGCCACCGTTGCAGGTCACTGGAAGGGCAAAACAGATCAAGTCTTTGTTTTTAAATAATTAATTTATTCCATTTTTTTTATTCTTTTGGTCTGTTGAGTGCTTGTTGTGTAAAGAGAATGCTCTAAGTATGGGTCTCCTTACCGTTTAGGGAAGATGAGTGATAGAGTTGTGTGAGTTTACGGTTAGGGATAACCTCTTGAAAGAAATAAAGAACTTGCATTGCTATAGCACCTTATCATGTCGAACCATCTCAATATGATTCACAGATAATTGTTGTCAAGTGCAGTGACTGTGTAGGCAAATACAACATCCAATTTGCACATAGCATCATAGTCCTACAAATAGCCATGAGGTGAATGATCAATTTGTCTGGAGGATTGATTTCAGCACTCCGAGACGCTACCCTGCGTGAAGGGCACTGTATAAATGAAAATTATTGTTGGCCTAGACATCAAGAGAAACTCCCTTCTCTTTTCAAATTGTATCTCCGGATCAGACAGGCAGACAAGACAATGGATTAACATCTCATCCAAAGAGCATAGTTTTGAATCAAAGAGAATTTACAGCAGTGAACGAGGCTGTTCGACCTATTGTGTCTGTGCTGGTGATAGCTCCACCACTCGTGCTGTTCCTCTAGACTGGGATTTGTTTCGACCTTTATAGTTAATAACAATGTAGCTTTCCGAGGGCAAATTATGCATTTTGTCTAATGTGTGCCAGTGCAAATAGATATGATTTTATTCATCCTCCTTAGAAAAGGCTGAAACACTCCTACACATTATAGTTCAGGACAGTTCTAGCTCCAAGGACTATGAATTTCTCTGCAGCTATGACTATGAGGGCTATGTACAAGAACCACTTGAACTTAGAAAATATGATGGCTGTGTGGAATCTGAAAAGCCTGCAGTCTAAATCATTGTTTGTACTTCAGAGGGTGTTCACTCCCAAAATTCATGAAGGGCAGGTTTTAAGAGTGTGTTTTCACCACACTTTCTGTCCTGGATAAAGCATTGCTTAATTAAGCGATGACATTCAGCACCTTGGGATGTCCTCCCAACACGAAAGGCACTATATAAATGCAATTTGTTGTTATTGTTGTTGTCATTAATTAAGGAATATAATGTGTTCAGGAGTATTGCAATACCCCACCCCCCACCACCCCCCACTGCCCCAACTATACAGTTCAAAATGTTCCTCACTGGTACAATGAAAGAGTAATTATACAATAACACTGTGAGTGTGAGTGATTTATCCAACACTTTAGATCTTATCATGCATGCATCCCAAGTGCAACCTGCACAACCTCGTTGCCTGTCGCAAAGTATATACTGGATTCCCACTGCACTGAACTGTGTGTACTGGAGCCCTATTTATCTTCGTTTTACAAAGAAATGGGTGACGTCTTCTCTGTGAAATCTCACATGAGTGAGTGGCTTTACAGTGTTTGCATAAGCTTGTAAGGGTCTTACTTTCTGAAGAGGTGTCATCCAGGTAAAGCAGAGTGTGAGTAGTGAGGAGTGAGAGGTGTCGAGGGGACAGGCAGAGCACAGGTTCTGTAAAGTGCATCAATCGGTGTCAGGCGCTGTTTGCTGTACAGTGGTTCCCATCATTAGCACAGTCACAACATCAGGACACCTCTGCATTGTCTGGACTGTGTGTGTCTGAAAGTAAGGAGAAAGGAGGCTGCTGCTCTGTGCCTTTATCAAAGCAATTCAGATCCTCAGATCCTCCTGGATCTTATGCCTTGTATTTATTCCAGTCTCATCTCAAACAAGCAATTCCAGGTTCCATTCATACTGCATACTTTACTAAGATTGCATTCTCCTCTCATTCTCTTTCCCTCCCTTCACACAGTTCAAACAGTTGAATTAGTCTGCCAGCGTTCACCATCCAGGCTCACACAAACAGAGTGGTGATTTGGGTGAGGGACAGCAGACAAATAACGTCCATTTAGCCCCACACCAGCACAAATCGGTGATTTCAGGATGGGGATTAAAAGTGGTTTGAGGGGCAACAAATATTGAACAAAAATGAACATGCCCCAATCTTACTGATCTTGAATCCCGTGTGAATCGTTGAATGCAAGTAAAGCGTAGAAAAATACAACATGCCATTTGCAGCAAACGTGAAAAGGGAAATGCTGCAATTCTATTGAACAGGAAAAAATATTCAGAAATATTGTAGGAGACCATGCCCTTGGAGCCAGAGTGGGGTTTGGATGCCAAAGGCATGAAATGTCCTGGGAATACAGATGGGAAATGCTGGTGGCTCTGGGGTTTTAACGCTGCTTAAGTCCACAGGGGGTTAACTAGCAAAGAACTGATAGTGTGGAATTTCTCTGCAGCTAAATATTTATATGCCATCTGATTGAAATAAGTAATTTGGTTAAAAAAAAAGTCTTTTGTGGTTGGATTCTATGAATACATTAGCTCTTTTAGTCAGGGATTTATTTCTATGAATAAAGAAATGATGAATTCCCCAAATAATTGAATGATTTTACTTTCTTCCAATCTGAATGCAATTCCCTTTTTCGTTTCTTCCCATTACATGTTCGTCGAGGAATAGAGGGGAAGCACAGGCTGTGAGAATGGGCTGCAGAATACAACTGCTGTTGAAACTATCTATTTATGTCAATAATCTCCTGAATTCTGATGTTATTCAGTGTGTGTGAGAACCGAAAAACGACTTTATCTCTGCGATGATGATGATGTGTGTGTGTGTGTGTGTGTGTATGGTGGGTTGTGTGTGTGTGTGTGAGGGGGGGGGGGTATCTCATCTGAAAATGATTTATAATTTGTTGGTTGTTTGCACCTTTTTTCTATTATCACTGATGGTGAAAGAAAGCAGATTAGATGGGGTGTGCAAAAGAATGTGTGTGTGTGTGTGAGGGGGGGGGGGGGTGGGATGGTGTTGCTTAAGACTTCAAATGTAGAGAGGCCAATCCATCAGGGGGTGGGGAGGGGAGAGAGAGAGAGAGAGAGAGAGAGGGCTCTTTGAACAAAAACCTCTTCACTATGCACTCCCACTGCATTCATTTGCAAATCCCTCAGCCTGAAAGAGACAGGATTCCCACTCCTGCCCCAGTGCTCGCAGAGAGCAGTATCCCCCTCCCCATCCCGACACTCCTCTGCTTGAGGGGAGGTTTATTTTATTAATCAGAGCGCTGGATGGCCACCAATCGGGGAGTCTGACAGCCACAGATTTTTTTCCACCCCTCCAACCCCCCCCCCCCCCAGCCCCCCCCCCACCTCCCCCACCTCGGCTGCGGGTTCCTGCCTCTGAGAACCAAAAGAAAAAAAAAGAAGTGATGCTGCGAGCAGACGCCTGGAGTGGAGCAAAGTCAGTCTGGGAATCCGAACAGCCAACACAACTGCAGCAACGAGAGGCACAGGGACCACTTAGCGGTGTGGTACTTATCAGAGCCCTTCGCAGGAAGAAGTATCAGACTCCTAACAGGAGCTGGGGGTCAGGTAAGTCTCCCTCTTACCTTGTGCACTGATGACAAGAGAGCTTTTTTTTTTGTTCTGCACATTGGAAGCTTTGTCAAGAGATAAAAGATAACCCGAGGCATGTGTTATTTCTCTTGTTCTCTCTCTCTCTCTCTCTCTCTCTCTATCTCTCTATCTCTCTCTTTCTTTTTTCTCTCTTCTTCTTCTTTCTCCATCGCTTGATTTTGCAGAAAGCTGTTCTCTGTGAGACCTGTCAGCGCTTGTGAATAAAATGCATTTTTTTCATAGGGAGGGAGGGAGGCAGGGAGGGGGGGAGGGAGGGGGGGATATATTTTTTTAAGAAAACCAACACATGCACCGCTTTGTGTACCCCAAGTCCTAAAAGGAGTGCTTTCTGTGGCAGCTCTCAGGCGTGTGTGGGACTTGTGCTGTGATGCACTTGTGCCGAAAGCAACATACAGAGGGAGGGATGGAGGTGGGGGGGGTGGGGAGGGTGGGGGTGGGGGGGGGTGAAGCTTTGCTGCAGTTTAACAGAACAAATTCCCACTAAAGTGGGCTGTTTGCGACGTGGAAGTCGAGCAGAAATGTTGACGGGCTGCAGTGAACTTTAGTCGTCGCTCTTTCGGTTGTGGTTTCAAACTGTGTGTGTCAGACTGAGAGCTCTGCAAACCCCCCCACACACCCACCCCACACCCACCCCAACAGTGCTGTGTGAATTACGGTGTGGTGTGAAGGAGGGTTGTCAGCAAAGCAGAGTGTATAGCGTTGCAACCCGCAGTGGCCAAGTCACTGCCAGCTCTCGGGGATGGCTGCAGACTGGAGGCTCACTCCCAATCTGTGGGCTCTGGGTGTCCAGTTGGTCCCCATTGCCTGCCTGGCAGCCAAGGTCAGTGCACTCTTATGTTGGTCACATCTCAGACCCCCAGCACTCCCCGCTGGGAAGTGCAACCTCACCCCAAAACCCCTCACCCAGTAACTGTTGCCTACCTGCAGCATAGCCTCAACCCCCTGCCACCGAGTGAGCTCAGTGCTGCTTCAGCATCAGTGATGGCCCCAGTGGCAATGCTATTGCTATCCCAGTCACAAAAACGCAGGGGTGCACTGTCTGTGGGGGTGCAAGGGGGCAAGGGTGGGGTGACCCCAGTGTCTGTCAGGGGTGGTGGCCCCTCGCTCACACGAGTTACTCCGGTTACTTTGTGGACCACTTGCCGATGGGTTGGAGTGAGGAGCATCTGCATCCTCCCTCCTTCACTCAAGTGGCTTCTGCATTGCTGCTGTGCTTGTGCTGTGAGTTAGCTCACAGCCTCGGGTGTGCTGTCAGGCACACAGCTCAGTGGGGTTTTAGTATGTTACTGGGGAGTAGCACGTAATACTGGTTGGAAATCTAATTGAATGTCAAACTGTTGCAAGTAGGGGCTGAATGTGTGTGTGTGTGTGTGTGTATGTGTGTGAGTGTGTGTGTGTGTCAGGGGGATGCTGAGGGTTTTACCAAGAAAACATTTCTTTGCATTTGCTGTTTACTTTTAACCCCTTTCAACAGTCTTGCCACACTGCAGTGCATCTGCAGGTTCTGGCCACCCTGTGGTATGTGGTAAATAGATTCCATTAAATGTTGTGAAAGACGAGACATTCCAGGACTGTCAGTAAAATTATGCTTTTTTTTTGCATTGAAGAAACAAATTGGGCAATTTTGAACACCCCACCTATTTATAAATAGGCACCTCTTTCAGTGCATTCTTCTTGAGAGAATGGTAGAGTGATGCCAGGCTCAGCATTGCTGTCTGCTGCTGCCAGAGCCCTTGTGCTGTAGCTCGAGTGCTGTGAATTCCAAGTGCTTTACTCAGGGCTGTGCATTCTGAGTGCTTTCTGTTCCTCGGTGAATTAAATGTCACCTTGTCTTCAGTACCCCATCCCTAAATTGACCCACTGAGATGCATCGTTCTCCGCAAGAAAATGTTTGATGACCAAAAGGCTATCTAGGCTAGTTCCACTCAACCAATCTAATTCCATTAGGTCTTGGTCATGTTTGCAGGCTGCTGACAGATAATAACTGATGTTCCATACAGCAACAGTTCCTAATTTCACACTTAATGTGGTACCTGCAATAAAGCGCCACAGTCCGGGTCAGCTGGAAGAGAGTTACTAAATAAATTAAACATCATCTGTGAGTGTGAGCAAAGTGTAAGGGAAAAAATAGAGTGCAGCAATAGTTCCATGTAAATACTCACAGCAGCAGTTAACTGGTTCAGCTGTCTGTGACACAGGCTGTCTCAGTGCATCTAATAGCTAATGCAAATTCACTTCTGCCTCCTTAAACCCTTTTTAGCCTTGCAGAACTATGCTGGCATTTTCACTCCACTTCCCAAAGTCTTAACAGAATTCCATTTTCTTTTCCCGCTTGTGTTACACTGTGTGATGCACTGTGCATACTAAGCATTTATCCACTATCCATAGTAAACCTGATATCTTTATCAATAAAGTGACATTAATTGGAGGTTTCTTCAAGCATTACGGCTTCCAACTTTTGATACTTTAGACAGAGTATGATCCCGACTCTTGCTACAGTGCAGTGTTCATCCAAACAAACTGTTAACCCTTCTCTGTCTTGTCATTTTAGGAGTTCACAGCAGATGGTTGTTCACAGCTGCATAGCTCCTTTCAGTGGTTCAGATGAACCTGTCTGAACTGGTGCCAGTCTGTGCACACAATCTGAAAAGCAGGGTTTTATTATAGTTCTAAAGCGAAATGCAACAGATTAAATAAATCAGCATTGATTTACTCTGCAACAGCGGAACTCACATAACCTGAACAAGTGGCTCCTTTCTTGCCCATTGAGGCTGGTGTGATTGAAAGGCGTTGGGTGTGTGAGTTATAGAAGCTAAACTGCAGGTGCTGGGATCAGAGCTGAAATTACTGCCGCAAGATTGGGAGACGGAATGAAGCTTTCCAGGGAGATCTGAAGAATGTTCTCGTAACATCCGCACGACAGAAGTGAAAGATTTCAGAACTGAATCACTTTTGGTAGATATATTTATGTGCGCTTATATAAGAGAGAGATTCCTGTTCACCGATGATTTTTAAGAGCTTTTCAATGTGTGCTTGTCTTCGGTATTGTAAGGGAATTCTTTTAGGACATTTGACTCATTGCCTCGAGTCTTCCTGAAGTCTGCTTTTGGATTGAAATGAAAGCTCAGAAGCACTCAAATCAGTGAACTGAAACATCTTGGAAAGACAGGAATAAGGTGAACAACATACTTATCATGCACGGCATGTAGGTGTGTAATACGCGAGGAGGAGGCGCTTTGAATTTTGTATTTTTTTTGAAGTGCAGTGGGAAAGCTGGCACATCACTGAAAGGCTGAAAAGGTTCAGAGAAGATCGTAAGTGTTTACATTTGCTGTTGGACTGTCTAATTCATAGATGAGCAAATGAGTTAAAATGCTGTGTGCTCAAATGATTTCTGTTTTCTGAATGCAACATTGGGAGATTCAAGATGTGTGTGTGTGTGTGTGTGTGTGTAAAAAAAAAGTCTAGTGGTGTCTAAAATTTAAACATTTAATCAAGTTATTTTATGCAATTATAAATGTGAATGAGATATTAAAATTATAGTACCGCAATGGCAGATTTTTCTCTTTCAAATACAATCCCTTCATTTTAGCCAGCGTTAGACTGCATGGGAAGAAACCACTGTTGTATTCATTTTTGTACAAGACTGTCTTTTGGTTTATTTACACTTTTCCATGCAATGAAATCATCAACGATTCTAGACGTGGGCTAAAATAGAATCCAAGTGATTCCTCGTCTTCTAATTTCACTTGTTCCAAAGGAGCAACCAACAAAGCGTTTCACAGCTTTCAGGTTACCTGCCTTGTGGTCGTCATACAAAGTGCTAATGTGCTGAACGTATGGTCTTCTGTGGCTGAGGATGCTTACGGGATTGAGAGCGCACCATAGAGTTTTGTGGAACATAACCGTATGTGCTCTAAGAACCATTAATATCCATGAACACAGCCACAATTCCTGCTCCCCCTGATCGTAGAGCCTTTTGAAGGAAACCTCTGTGAAAAACATCCGAGTAGCAGAAGTAAAGTAAATAACTGGCCCCCAATTACAATATGCTGCTTTGTACTGATGTTACTAGATCATTGCATTGCATTGCAATTGTGAGTGATTAAAATATTATTTTCCCTCAATGGTTAGCTAATGTGCAAATCTCCCACAGTCTGGCTCAACTGAACGTCGTCCTATCCAAGTATGAATCCTCCGTGGGTGCTGCTACATCCTCTGCAAGAGATGCCATTTCCTGAGCAGGGAGATGTCATTTATATGAACAAACATGCACATAGCACTTCCTATTTAGTCCCTCATTTAGCCTCTGTGAAGAATCCTCTTGTAACGGCCTTCAGTTAGCAGGTGTGTTCAGCATAGACTGAGCTGCATGTCCCTACTTCTGGGACTGTTGTCACTGCTGGGCTGTGTTTGGCCAGAAGAAGATTTAATAATAATCCTTGCATTTGATATAACGCCTTATCACGTCTTTGAGACATCTCATAGCGCTTCACAGAATATACTGTAAAGTGAATTGACTGTATATTTTGTGGGCGAAATGCGGCAGCCAATTGAGTACAGAAGTGTCCGCCAACAGTGGATTTAAGTCGTGGATTGAGTGACCAAATTATTTTTTTAAGGGATTTCCCCCCCCACCCGGAAAGCAAGCCGCCAATCCAATAACAACTGGCTTCCTACTTACTGATGAGTAAGAGTGTATGGAGTAACAAAAACTTGCCTCAGGTGTTGCCCTGCTCGAATTGAGAGCAAATTTAGTCAAAGAGCAAAGATATCCTTTTTTTCTCTTTACTCCTTGATTATTTTTGCACATCCTCCTGCTGATCCAGTAGCTTGGTTGAAACAATGATGGATAAACCTTCAGGTGAAGCCACTGAACTTAAATGATAGGCAGCCAGCCCACACTGAAGTGCACAAAACAAAATGCTTCAACAATCCATGCATATGAGGAGACT